TCCTTTAAGAGGATTACTAAATATTTTGAGATTTTTATTCATTATTTAAACGAATTCGGATTCGTCTCAATTTTTATTTGTTGTCTATACGAACTCGAACTGCACTAATTTTTTTTTATCTTTAGTAGTTTTTATTAATTATGTTTCTTACTCTATTTTTTCAAATTTTTTATTTTTAAACTATTTTTCGAGTGTTACATTTTTATTATTTTTTTTTTTTATTTTTTTTTTTAAGATCATATTTCCTTATGTTATAAGGTTTTTAGTTTTCTTGTAGTTTAGGATTTTCTTTATTACAGAGCAAAATTACTTATTCAATTATTAATACAATATCATTTCTTATGGACATACTTTTAAATAAAAAAAAACCTTTACTTTTGCGCACGTCATTTTGTCCTTGTCCTACATCTTTTAGCGAACTAAAGACTTCAAAATCAGTTTAAAGGTGAAAGTTAATTGCTATTTATGATTTCTAACAGTAGTGACTATTCAATTGCGATCTAATGTCAAATTAAATCCTGAACTACTTTTGATCGACTTCGAGAAGCTCTAATTACACATCACTGATTGAATGTAAAAAAAAGAAATGGGAAGTGTAGAAAAGGGTAGTTATGGTGGGTTTAGTACTGACCAAAGCAAATCTAGCCAAAAATAAAAGAGGAATGTCAAAGTCTACACGTCAGAATGTTAAAGATCAATGCTACACATCATAATCACTATTTAATTGTAAAAATAAATCAAATCTCAAATTAAATCCTGCTTTCCGTACTTGATTTCACAATCTTGGTGTCGTGATTTGACAGTATCGGTTGGGCACAGTAGAGTTCTTCACAAGCTTGCCAGAAAAACAAAATAAATGGAGGAAGCTAAGCGCGTGTGTTTTGGGATTTAACTAAATCAAATATTTGGACAAAAGTATCACTAATTAGTAACTATAAATTATTCATCTTTTTGTAACTTTAAAATGTGGTGTAGAGCAGAAAAAACACCTTTGTAATTTTAAAAGTGTGCAAATAATATTGTTGGTGTTAAAACGTCACCCTTATAATTTCAAAATTGTACAAATAAAGGCTTTTGACCAAGTAAATTGGCAAGTGGGGAGCATGTGACTAAAAATTGACTTTTTATACCAAAATTAAGCTTTTGCACTACCTAAAATATGATTTCTAACCGTAATCACTATTCAATTGCGGTCTAATATCAAATTAAATCCTGAACTGAATTTTGGCCTACTTGATTTCACTATTGATGACTTGGAGAAGCTCTAATTACACATCTCTGACTGAAGAAATGGGTAGTGTTGAAAAGGGTGGTTGTGGTGGGTTCCCTAGTACTAGACCAATGCAAATCTAGCCACAAATAAAAGAAGAATGCCCAAGTCCACACGCCAGGATGTTAAAGATCAATATCCAAGACTACACGCCAAAATGTTAAAAATCAATTCCCAAATCTACACGCCATAATCAATACATGCAGTATTTAATTGTGAAAATAAATCTCAAATTAAATCCTGATTTGAGTTTCAGCGTACTTGATTTCACAATCTTGATGTCGTGATTTGACAGTGTCTGTTGGGCACAGTAGACTTCTTCACAAGTTTGCCGGAAAAAAAATAATAATAATAAAAAAAATAGAGAAAGCTAAGCGCTTATGGTTTGGGATTTAACTAAATAAAATATTTGAACAGAAGTACGATTAATTAGTAACTGATAAATTATTCATCTATTTGTGACTTAAAAATTACTACAAAACTATTTACCTTCAATTTTAGTTTGGCTATAACTATTATACCACTCAATAATATAAGGCCTCTAGACCTTTTTTTTTTATTTTTTTATTTTTTAGTTGCCTATAGACTTATGCGTTAGTCTTCAATACTCCCTCCCTATTATAGTGTGTAGACTTGCGCATTGATCTTTTGACGTTGAATATTACTACTAGCTTTCTTTTTTGAAACTTTTTGTTTGTTTCGGAGACTTCTTCTAAGCACATTAAATGCTATGGCGATTGGTGGTACAAAAGTCAGAGTGAGTTTATTTTGTGCAGGTGAGCAATTATGTTTTTAGGCGGGCCAAAGACTGAGAGAAATGCATGTATGCTTAAAACAGTGGGATGTTATCCCCACCCACGTAAAACGCATCTGAGTTTCGAACTTAGTTTCAGAACTCATAAAGATTAATGTGCAAGTATACAGGCTTAAATTCAGAACCACGAAGCAATTTAGATATATAAAAATATATCCCAGTCTGATTGCACGCACTTTTTTAATTTTTACACTTAGATTTCGTTTGGTTAAATAAAATCAACAAAAAAAAATAAAAATAGAAATAAAAAATTTTAAAACTTTTTTGGGTTATATAGAAAAAGAAAAGTTCTAAAAAAAATTAGGATTCCCTTAACCTTCTATTTTTCCCAAAACGTTTTCTGCACAAAATGCGAAAAAATTTTATTTTCACGTAAAAGAATCGTATTTTTATTTTGTGTTCCAATTTTATCCAACAACTTCATTGATATTATTTTTACCAACCAACAACTTTATCGATATTTGAAGACCAACAACATTCAAAGAATTCAATGTCCAACAACGACTTTATAATTGATAGAGTTTTAGTTAACTTGACTACCATTTCTTAGTTGTTTTCCATCATATATGAATTAAATAAATAGTAGTTTGCATTTATTGAAGACTCCATCATTTTTTTCTATATACCCTACTATTAATTATTTATTTATTACTTTTTATAAAATAAGGGCATTTTAGGTATCTAAATTATAATATGAAATTTTTCTGTAATTTTTTTGAGTAAATTTTCTTCCTAATCAAATACATACTAGAAAATCAATTTTCTTTTTACAAAATTAATTTTCGTTTCATTCACTTCACTTTTTTTTTTTTTTTTTTTCATTTCTTTTCTTTTCTTACTATTTCTATTTAACCAAACGGAGGCTTACCAAAAAAAAAAAAAAAAAAAAAAAGAAAAAGAAAAAGAAAAAGAAAAAGAAAAAGAAGAAGAAGAAGAAGAAGAAGAAGATAAGGTGCAATAAACCCCCCTCAACTTAGTCCGTTTTGCAATAAACCCCCATCAACTAATTTTTTAGCCAAAAAAAACCTCTCAACTATCCAGAGATAACTAAGTGGATGGAAAATCAAGCGTCATATTTTTGAGACGAAAATGCTCTTATTCTTATTATATAGGGCAAATTGCATAAAACCCGACACTACTTTTAATTTTTTGCAAGAATCCTCCTTGAAGAAAAAAGTTGACATAAAACCCCCCCTAACTATAGAATTTGTTGCAAAGTGGTGTTATAATGACTAAAATGCCCCTTAATACAAATTTAATAAAATCGTGCATCTTAATATTAAATTAAAATTAATAGAAATAACTCAATTGGCATAGCGTTAATAAAAGAAATTAAATGGTGCATCTATAAGAAAATAAAAGTACCTTGGAATAATTTTTCAAAATTTTCTAAAATATAAAAAGGAAAAGAAAACCTAAAATGAAAATCATTTTAAAGTAAACCTAAACTTTTAAAAATTTATATTTTAGTGATGTTATAATGACGAAAATTTTATTTTAAATTTTATTATAGCATCACTTTAATATAAATTTTCATTACAAATTTAAATCATTTTATATTAGTGAAAATTCCCACTAATGTAAATAAATTTTTTGGTAAAATAAAATGATTTAAATTTAAAATGAAATTTTATGTTAAAGTGATGCTATAATGAAATTTAAAATGAAATCGACTTATTTCCCCTGGTATTAAATTAAAATAAAAATTATTTTATATTAAAGTGATGCTATAATTTTATGATTTACGGATTTAATAAAATTTAAATCAATTTACATTAACGAAAATATTTCCTAATATAAATTTTCTTCATTATAGCATCACTTTAATATAAATTTAAGAAAGTTTAGGTTTACTTTAAAATGATTTTTATTTTAGGTTTCTTTTCCTTTTTATTATTTAGAAATAAAAATTTAAGAAAATGTTGAAAAATTGTTCGAAGGTACTTTTATTTTCTTATAGATGCACCATTTAAGTTTTTATTTTTTATTTTTTATTTTTTATTAACACTATGCCAAATGAGCTATTTTTATTAATTTTAATTTAATATTAAGAGGCACCATTTTATTAAGTTTTTGTTAAGGGGGTAATTTAGTCATTATAACACCATTTTGTATAAATTGTATAATTAGGGGGGTTTCTTGACAAAAATTTATAGTACAAGGTGTTTAATGCAATTTGCCCTATATAATAGAAATAAGGGCATTTTTGTCCCCAAAACATGGGACTTGATTTTCCATCCACTCCATTATCCTTCTTGGACAGTTGAGTGGGTTTCTTTTGCAAAACAATAGTAGAGGGGAGTTTATTGCAAAACGCCTTATGTTGTGGGGAGTTTATTGTACTTTGCTAAAAAATAATATTGTTTTTGTAAAGATGCTATCGTCATACAGAACAAAATCCTCTCTAGCCTAACAGTGTTTCTGTTGCAGCCGGTGAGTTAAAATTAATTGGGATACATGTTAGAAAAGTGTGAAGATGTACGTTACTCGTTAGGAGTTGGAATGTATATTAGAAAAATGTTAGGATGTAAAGCCAACATCTCAACACTTTGATAATATGTATTCCAAACAAAACTCACATACTGCAATAAATCGATACATTGTTCAGCGGGAAAGGATTTTGATTCGTCATCATACAGCGTTAGATCAATCCCAATAAACATTTTCCCCACCGTACCAACAAAACAAATTTTAATGCCAAGTATATAACACAGTGATCACATTTTGGACATTTTAGAATGAATAAAATAGTCATGTTAGCACAAGCAAAGAGGACAAAAATCTCTAACATCACTAATTATTCTTGCTTTCACACGCTGTTAAAGCAAGAGTACTATTCCCTGCTTAATATATTGGACTCAACAGATCTCAACAGATTCGTATAGCAGTGTTTACCAAAGCATGAACTACCACAGCCAGGTCTTCAACCTAATTCAGGACTTCTAGATAACACAATTGAAAAAAATAAACTAAAAAATAAAAAGTTATTTTCTTAATAATTTTTAAAAATCATTTTCTTCTTATATATCAAGTTTTGTGGAGCCTTGTTTGTAGAAAAAGAAAAAAAAGAAAAAGAAAAAAGGAAAGAGACAAAGACGATCGACTTCTTTTTCTCTACCGAGTGAGTGACTCAAGATAATGGACCACCAAAGTAACTAGTATGAGATCGACCTGTAGAATAAGATGAATATAAATAAGAGCTTAAATACAGCACTGCTACACATCGACCATAAGCCATGGGGTACTCTTCAACCTTAGAGAAGGTCCTCTCATTTGTTTCCTTACTCTTGTTTGTTATGTTGTTGTCTTCACCCAATTCAGCTTCTGCTTCTGTTCAAGAAGCTAAAGCTCTCCTCAGATGGAAAGCCAGCCTTCAACACCAAAATAATTCTGTGCTAACTTCATGGATTTTTCCTTCTAATTATAATACCACCGGTTCTTCAAGCAATCAAAATACAAGTGCCATCCCTTGCACTTGGTCTCGAGTTTCTTGCGATTTTGATGGAAGTGTCACCGGACTGAACCTCACAGGTGCAAGTGTAAATGGTACGCTCTATGATTTCCCATTTTTATCTCTCCCTAATCTTGCATATCTTGATCTCAGCATGAATGATCTTTCCGGTATCATCCCACCTCAAGTTGGTAAACTCGCAAAACTCATCTATCTGGATTTTTCCATTAATCAGTTTTTCGGAATAATCCCACCACAAATCGGCCTCCTAACAAATCTTCAAGTCCTTCACATGTTCCAGAATCAGCTAAATGGATCAATTCCTGCAGAAATAGGCCTACTGAAGTCCCTTTATGAGCTTGCTTTGTGCACTAACAATCTTGATGGTACCATTCCCGCTTCTTTGGGCACATTGAGCAACTTGGCTTCTCTGTTTCTCTATGAAAACAAACTCACTGGTTCCATTCCTCCAGAAATGGGGAATCTCTTCAATCTTGTCATTCTTGACATGAATACGAACCTTCTCACAGGTCCTATCCCTTCCACTTTCGAGAACTTGAATAAGCTAACCATGTTGCGGCTATTCCAAAATCAGCTCTCTCATCCCATTCCACCAGAGATAGGAAACCTGAAATCCCTTGAGACACTGATTCTTTATAAAAATAATCTTTCTGGCACAATCCCGGTATCCTTGGGTGATATAAGCTCGCTAACTCAACTACTTCTCTACGAAAATCAACTCTCTGGTCCCATTCCTAGAGAATTAGGAAAGTTAAAGTTTCTCTATGACCTACAATTGAGTGTGAATCAGTTCAATGGTTCCATTCCTTCTTCATTTGGCAATTTAAGCAACATGAAGTTCTTGTTCCTCCGTGATAACCAACTCTCCGGTCTTATTCCACAAGAAATTGGGAATCTGGAGAAGTTGGTCGTATTGGAAATGGATCATAATCAGTTTTCTGGCTATTTGCCTAAAAACATTTGCCGAGGCGGAAAACTACAAAACTTCACGATAAACAGTAACCAGCTCAAGGGTCTTATCCCCAAAAGCTTAAGAAACTGTTCTAGCTTAATCAGAATCCGTTTCAATGGAAACCAACTCACTGGAGATGTATCTAAAGCTTTTGGTATCTATCCAAATCTTAATTTCATGGATTTAAGTAACAACAATTTTTTTGGTGAAATCTCTTATAGATGGGGACAGTGCTCAAATTTGACTAGCATATTGATGGCAAGGAACAATATCACTGGCCAAATACCACGAGAGTTGGGAAATTTATCTCGACTTCAGGTAATTGATCTTTCTTCGAATGAATTAGATGGGGATATTCCAAAGGAACTAGGGAAGTTAGATTTGCTAAAGGTTGATTTGAAAGACAATCAACTTTCTGGTAGTATACCTAGAGAACTCGGATTACTAGCTAATCTGTTGTATCTTGACATGTCCATAAATAGATTGAGTGGTTCAATACCGGGAAATCTAGAAAAATGCTTGCAGCTGCATTACTTGAACTTGAGTTACAACCATTTTAGCCAAAACATTCCACCTGAGATGTATAAGTTAGCTCAACTGTCCAAGCTAGATTTGAGCCATAATTTTCTCATGGGAGAAATATCATCGCAAATTCAAAATTTGCAGAGTTTGGAGGTGCTAAATCTCTCCCACAATAACCTCTCTGGTTTCCTTCCAGAGGCTTTTGAAGAAATGCATGGGTTGATGTATGTTGACATATCCTACAATGGGTTTCGAGGTCCCATTCCCAGCAACAATGCCTTTAGAAATGCTACCATAGAGGCATTACAAGGGAACAACGGTTTGTGTGGCAATGTTACAGGATTGAACCCTTGCAAAAATGGCCAACACATTGTGAAGGAAAGCCACAAATTCATTCTAGTTCTTAAAATTGTATTACCTATTGTGGGAGCACTTATACTTGTTGGTGCATTCATTGGACTCCTAATCCTGTTTGAAAGAAGAAAAAGTAAAGCACCAATCAAACAAGGCGACTTGCAGGCAGATGAAAACAATCTATTTTTAATTTCCAATTTTGATGGTCGAGCAATGTATGATGAAATCTTAAAAGCCACCAACAATTTTGATGCCTCGTATTGCATTGGGAAAGGAGGATCTGGAACTGTCTACAAAGCAAGATTGCCAGCAGACAACGTAGTGGCTGTGAAAAAACTTCACCCATTCTCTGAGCCAGCAAACCGTCAAGGATTTTTGAACGAGGTAAGGGCATTGACAGAGTTACGACATAGGAACATTGTAAAGCTTTATGGTTTCTGTTCACATGCTCAACACTTATTTTTGATTTATGAGTACTTTGAAAGGGGTAGCTTGGCCACAATCTTGAGAAGAGATGAAGAGGCTCAAATTTTGGATTGGCCCAAGAGGGTGAACATCATTAAGGGGGTGGCTCATGCTGTATCTTATATGCACCATGACTGCTCACCACCAATTGTACATAGGGACATATCAAGCAACAATATTTTGTTGGACAACGAGTATGAGGCTCATGTCTCAGATTTTGGCACTGCTAAGCATCTGAAGCTGGACTCCTCAAATTGGAGTACACTTGCAGGCACATATGGATATATAGCACCAGGTAAACATAGTTTTATGTTGTTATAACTAATTTTACATATATAATACTGCTGATCAATTACACTTTTTTCTTTGCAGAACTAGCTTTCACAATGAAGGTAACTGAAAAATGCGATGTGTATAGCTTTGGAGTGTTGATAGTGGAAGTGATCAAAGGGAAGCATCCAGGCAATTTCATCACCTCTCTATCATCATCATCTATTGATAAGAATATAATGCTGAGAGATGTGTTGGATCAACGCCTTTCAGCTCCCTCAACTGACGGTGAAGAGGTGTTGATATCAATTATAAAGTTGGCCATTGCATGTTTAAATGTCAATCCACAATCTAGGCCGACCATGCGCATTGTCTCTCAGTTATTGTCAACCCTAACAACACCTTCCTAGAACCATCCAACTTAGTTACTCAACATATTTTGTCGTCCTTTGTACCATATAGTGTGTTGTTTTTCATCTTAGTATCTATTTGCATTTCATAGCAATATATTGTCAGCACGATTGTTCAACATTGCCCTCAATGTGCATGCATAAGTTTGGATGTTGGTAAACAGTAGTTAACTATTCTTTTAACCCCAAGATAAAATCCAGATTAAATTGCGACAATTGTGGTACAAACATCTTATGGTCCAAACCTCATCTTATCATTAGAAAAAAGCACATTTTTGTCAAACTTGAGCTATTTTATTTGACAATAGATAAACTAACCCAATTAGTCCTATTACCTATCATTTCTTAGAGATATACTCGTTCAGCAAGCGTTATTTATTTATTTATTTATTATTATTTTTTCATAAAAGAATAACACGTGCTATAAAATTAAAAGGGCTTAAATGCTCTTATTACCTAAACTAGTGGGAAAAATAATGTTTTAGTTTGTCCAATTAATTTAATTCATAAAATGAAGGAAGGCATAGGAAAAGGAAAAAAGAAGAAGAAATAAATAGAGAAAAAAGATGACATGCATCATATTATGAACATTATATAAAATTTATTAAGTAATGATATTGTAGTCGATTTATATTGTTGACTGAATAAGCTATATTGTGTATCATGAATCAAAATCAATTTCATTGGATTGATTTAAAAATGCATATTCATAATATTAATCAATTTCATAATAATTTCATTGGATTGATTTAAAGAAGAAATACCAACACGCCAGTGGCCTAACGATATCAAACCCCTACTTCTCAAAGGAAAGTTAGGGGTTCAAGCCTCAGTGGAGACATGTGTGTGTGAGTACCAACTAAGAAAAAAAAAACTAAAAATAAAAATTTAAGAAGAAGCCAGTAACCAAACTAGATTGGGAACACTAGATGTTATTTTTTAATTTTTCGTCAAATGCCCAATCATCGGCATATTTCAGATTCTTATATATATGGTACCTGCACTTCTTTGATTCATGACTTAAGCCTAAATTAAAATAATATATGTAAGTTAATTTGGTTCATATTTGTGTCCAAATTAAAATGATTTATATTGGAGAAGGATGGTTTTGGTATTATGTTTTTTAAATTAGTCGACTTTTGACTTTTATAATAATCAACTAACTAAAGGGGGTGTCGGGGCAAAGTTAACCAAACCTGAGGGGAGGTTTAGGCCTTTTTTTTTTTTTTTTTTTTTTTTTTTCATTAGTTTAATATGTGAACAATAAAGACAAACCTAAAGGGGTGTCGGAGCACTTAATGCAATTAAAAATTAAGTATTGAAACCTTAGGGATTGGTTTAATGATAAAATCACTTGGCTTTGATGCCTTCATAGCACCAGGTCTGGGGTTTGATTTCCATTCGGAGCTTACGACTACTTGGGGTCACGCATTCGTTGGCATATTCAATGACTTACTTTACTCGCGGTGGGGAGATGCCATTTTTGGATTCTCGAAGATTAGTCAGGATGAAGACTCGGATTCCCCGAGTTATCTAAAAAAAATAATAATAGTAAGTGTAAAAAATTTTAAAATTTGAAACTCTATTATGACAAGGGACTTCAGTTTCATGAGTGATCTTACTTCACAATATCACCATAAATGTTATCTGTACACACGTAGAATATTGGGAGGGAAATAGATGCTCAATCTCAGTCTTGTCATAACAATGGGTAAATTACGTTTAACTTTCCATTACGTTTAACTCTCCCTGATTCGTAACATTTTACATAAAACCTTACTTTAATTTTTTTTTTTGGCAAAAAATCTCTCTAACTAATTGATGGGGATTACTTTTGCTAAAATATCCCCTCAACTTAAGGGGGTTTTACGCAATTCCCCTAATTATGTGAATTTAACTAAAACATTCAATTTTTAATTTCTTTCTTGAATAATACTGTATGAACTTATATTTTCTTTTACATTCATCACCATACCATGAATTTAAGAAGATTACTTTTGCTAAAATATGCCCTCAACTTAAGGGGGTTTTACGCAATTCCCCTAATTATGTGAATTTAACTAAAACATTCAATTTTTAATTTCTTTCTTCAATAATACTATATGAACTTATATTTTTTTTTACATTCATCACCATACCATGAATTTAAGAAGATTACTTTTGCTAAAATATCCCCTCAACTTAAGGGGGTTTTACGCAATTCCCCTAATTATGTGAATTTAACTAAAACATTCAATTTTTAATTTCTCTCTTGAATAATACTATATGAACTTATATTTTCTTTTACATTCATCACCATACCATGAATTTAAGAAGATTACTTTTGCTAAAATATCCCCTCAACTTAAGGGGGTTTTACGCAATTCCCCTAATTATGTGAATTTATCTAAAACATTCAATTTTTAATTTCTTTCTTGAATAATACTATATGAACTTATATTTTCTTTTACATTCATCACCATACCATGAATTTAAGAAAAGCATAAAAATTAGGGGTGGCAAAGTTCGACACGACCCGCCAACACGATACGTACACGACACGAGTTAAATGGGTAATGAGTTTACCATAAACGGGTTCGTGTTGTAAACGGGTTGACACGAATAACCCATTTAGTTAAACGGGTCGTGTTCGGGTTCATGTGGCTCAACCCATTTAACCTGTTTAATTAAATGTGTCACCCGTGAACCCGTCTAACCCGTTACCTGTTTTGACCTGATTATTAGGGACATTTTGGTCATTTTATTATTACACAAGAAACCCTATTAAGGCTATTATACAAATTATATCAACAGATTGAAATCATTGAACACTACCTTACGCGGTGCCTTCAGTGCTTCACAGTTCACTCTTCAGTCCCTCTCTTGGACCTCTCGGTCTCTCCTCTTTCCTCTCTTTCTCTCTCTGAAAGATTCAACCCAGACAACTCCTTCTCTCTCTCAAATCCACACCACACCAGCACACCTCGAGCAACCAAGAAGTTCAAGAACACTACAGTCTACACTTCGAGCGAACCAGCAAAGAATACGAAGTAAGTTTTATACTTTTCTTTAATTTTTTTGTCTTCTCTCTTTCAGATCTACTCTAAAACAACAAGAGGTCGATTTTTTTTGTCTTTCCTCTGTCAGATCTATTTGAAAATAAGTTTTCTTTAATTTTTTTTCTTTCAGATCTACTTTTAAATAAGTTTTATCTATTTTTTTTTCCATTATTATTGTTATTTTTTAGAAACATTATGTTTAAAGTTTCTGAATGAGCCGTTGGACAACAAAATGGCCGTTGTTCAGTGAGTTCACCATGGGTCCATGACACACGGATTTTTTTTCATTATATATATGTTGATTTTGGCTCATTGCAAACTCACTCCCGTCAAAGAAAGGGTACGGGCCAGCTTAAGCCCATAAGCTTTGTTTTCTTGCTGCTCTGACAAGCCAGCTAAACCTCCACAAATCATCTGTGGTTCGTGAAGAACTTTATATGAGTGCGCACTCACCACCCGACCCAATACAGTGACCACCCATTCACTACCCCAGACAGTACCCAACTTCCTAAAAAATAAATTATCCTATTGCAATTAATAATTCCTGTAACCGTATTTCTTTTTATTTTTGGTAATTCAAATGTGTTTCAATTTCTTCCCTCCAAAAGAAAGCAAAAAATAGTAATTTGTAGTTGAGACCGGTTTTGATTATTGAAGGGACTTAAATAAGCTTTATTTTCAAGCAGCATGCCAAAGTTGTTGTCAGACCAAACTTTTCCCAGTTCTCTATCTTGTTGCAGTCAAACTTGGCTACTTTGCAGTCCAACAGTCCTTAATTTCGCTCCCACTAAGTCAATAGGATAATTCCCAAAATTATTAAATAGAATTTTAAAACTGTTTGTCTTAAGTTTAACAGTTTAATTGGGCGACTTATTTTGATATTTTTATTGATAGGTCTTTCTTATTAGATCAAAGATGAGTAGTTTATAGTATTCATTAGAATGTTGGAAGTATAAGATAGATTGAATTGATTCCCTCCCAATGGTCTTGGCGTACTTACTTTTATATGGGAGTTAGGGTATAACATTCGTAAGAAAGAAAAGGTCTTAGCATACTGGTTGCCTTTCAGAGTGTTAAAGCCAACTAATATAGTTGATATGAATACATGCTAATCTACAATTAAGCTTTACTCGGCACTGAATCATGCTAGCATATACTTTCTTTCAAGATTTGAGGACGTAGATCAGTTAATATAAGTACTAATCTTGCTCAAAAATTAGTTTAGTGGACTATTAAGATTCGTAAAAACTAATGTATGTAATTTAATAATATTTTCTCTCTTTTCAATGTGAAAAGTAAAAAATTGGAACGAGTATTGCGTTATTGAAGACATTGTCAACGTTATAATAATTTTATATTAATAAAAGGAAAAAAAAAATCATGAAAGATAAAAGAGCAAGACAATGCGAACACTGCAACAATTTTATATTAATAAAAGTTGGGAAATAAAATCATGAAAGAAAAGAGGGTATTGTGGGTCCTTCTTCAAGACATATTCAACTTTGCACTACAACAATTTTTTATTAATAAAATCATAGAAACATTGGAACCGTAACACAATAACGCTTTTTATAAAACGTTTAATGTATCCTGCACCCTTATCGTCTTAGTCGAACATTTTGTTATGTTGATTAAGTTATGATTCACACTTAATAATTTAAAGGGGGTGAATAGGTCAAGTTGTTTAATTTTTGTTTGATTAATTATTATATATATCCTCTTTATTAATTATTATATATGTTTGATTTATTTATTTATTTTTGGTAATATTTAGATGGATTCTGCCATGAGACTTGACGAAAGTGGACCAGAAGATGATCTTGATTTAATTGACCTTGAAGTGGATCAGAATGAAAATGCAGATGTGCAAGTGCAACCGAAAAAGAAATAGGATTCGAAGCGCAAAAGAAAACTCACATCAAAAGTTTGGTTGCACTATGATATACTTCCACCCGGTAAGGACAAGAAAAGAAGATGCAGATGTAAGAAGTGTGGGACTGAGTATATTGCGGAGGGCAGGTATGGCACTGGTAATTTAAAGAGGCATATAGATTCGTGTGTTAGGAGGGATACACGGGACATAGGTCAGTTGCTTTTATCTCAGTCATCTGGATCCATATCTATGCGTGCTTCTAAGTTTGATTTTAATAAATTTCGTGAGTTAGTGAGTGCTGCTATCATTATGCATGATCTACCATTTCAATTTGTTGAATATGAGGGCATTAGAAACATGTGTCGTTATTTAAATGAGGAGGCTCAGCCCGTAAGTAGGAACACAGCCAAGGCTGACATATTAAGGATGCATAAAAATGAAAAGGGTAGGCTTTGACATATATTGGAATCAACAAATGGTAGGATTTCTCTAACATCTGATTTGTGGTCTTCTCTGACTACTGATGGGTACTTATCTCTTACTGCACATTTTATTGATGTGGATTGGCGCTTACAAATTAAAAAGAGTTTTGAACTTCTCTTACATGCCATCACCACACAATGGTGTTGCTTTGACAGAAAAGATTTATACATTGCTAACTGAATGGGGGATTGAAAAGAAACTATTTTCAATTACTCTAGACAATGCTTCTTCAAACTGTTCATTTGTTGAATTATTGAAGTCTCAACTCAATTTGAATGATGCTTTATTAAGTGGTGGGGAGTTTTTTCACATTCGTTGTTGTGCACATATCTTAAATTTGATAGTGCAAGAGGGGTTAAAAGAGTTTGATGAATCTATCATAAAGATTCGTGAGAGTGTTAAATATGTCAAAGGTTCTCAAATGAGGAAACAAAAATTCTTGGAATGTGTGTCTCATATTTCCTTAGAATGTAAAAGAGGGTTAAGGCAAGATGTTCCTACAAGATGGAATGCGACATATCTTATGCTTGAGTCTGCCATTTATTATCGTCGGACTTTTTGTCATTTGCAGTTGAGTGATTCAAATTACAAGTTCTGCCCATCTCAAGAGGAGTGGAGTAGGATAGAAAAGATTTACAAGTTCTTGACTGTTTTTTATGATGTTAAAAACATCTTTTCTGGATCCAAGTATCCTACAGCAAACTTGTATTTTCCATCTGTGTTTTCGGTTCAATTGACATTGCGAGAGGAAATGGATAGTAAGGATCAGTTTATGAGCAAGATGGCAACTCAAATGTATTCAAAGTTTGTAAAGTATTGGTCTGATTATAGCATGATCCTTGCTATTGCTGTGATTTTAGATCCTAGATACAAGCTTGGGTTTGTTATTTTTAGCTATAACAAGCTTAATGGTGATAACAACATTGAGAGCACACTAGTTCATGATGCATTGTTTAACCTTTTTGATCAATATTTGTTGAATTCTCCTATGGCTTGTACCACCAAATCCACATCTTCACCAAATGATGAAAGTGGGAACCGGCAAGTTGATGAGGGAAAGTTAACTAAAAAGTTCATTGATGTTATGAAGGTGAATAATACTTTTGTGAGATATTAAATTCATTTAATGCCTATTTTATTCATTACATCTATTTATTTTTCTACTTTTACCATTGATTGATCTATTTGTTTTTCTTAATTACTGTAATGTAGGAATTTGACTCATTTGAGAATGATAAATTGCTTGGAAATGCCCAAAAATCAGAGTTGGAACTCTATTTAGATGAACCAAAAATCAATAGGAATGCGAACCTTGACGTGCTTACCTATTGGAAAGCCAATCAGTTTAGGTATCCAATGCTTGCTCAAATGGCTCGTGATATATTGAGCATTCCAATCACTACAGTTGTTTTTGAGTCTGCGTTTAGTGTTGGTGGTCGGGTTCTTGATCAATATCGTAGTGCACTTAAACCAGAAAATGTGGAGGCTTTGGTATGCACGAGGGATTGGCTTTTTGGTTTGAAAGGTAAATAACTTATAATAAATTTCAAATTATATTTTTATTATTGCAGAAAATAGTGAAGTAATAAATTTTTTGTGTATGTTTTACTATAGATACAATGAAGGTTCAAGTAGATGACTTGATTGATAATGTGATGAAACTTAATATCAACAATGATGACCCTGTTGAAGGCCAATGTTCCACCAATGGTAGCGTGACTGAATATTAAAATCCAGCTAGGTAAAAAAGCCATCTACATTTGTTTTATTTTTCACATAATTTGTTATATGCAATCTTTTATATTTCAATCTGTTTTTTTTTTAATTATTATTATCTAAACTTATTTTACACTTACCTATTTTGTAGGAATTTCTACTTTTGGGTGTTTCAAAAAAGAGTGCATGCAAATTCCAGAAGGAAGTTTTTGAGTTGTGGATTTTTGGCTTTTAAGAAGATTGCATGTTACTTGACATTTCTATTAAATATTTTTATTTCGGTTTGTAATAACTTATGACTTATCTTTATTTCAGTTTGTAACTTATGACTTGTGACTTAATCTTTATCTTTGACATTTAATCTCTCTTTTGGATGTTTGCTAGTATTTTAATTTTTGGGCCTTAGCTACTTTAAACGGGTTAAACATGTTAAACAGGTTAAACGGGTTAAACGAGTTAAACAGGTTAAACGGTAAACATGTTAAACAGGTCGTTAAACAGGTCGTGTTTGGTGTGTCTAACGCAACATGTTTATTAAACGGGTTACACGTATCGTGTCGTGTTACCCGTTTAATAAATATGTCGTGTTCGGGTTTATGATATGACACGATTATTAATCGTGTCGTGTTCGGGTTGACCTGTTTAGTGTTATACCCCTACTTCGACACGACACGATTATGACACGCGAACCCAAATTATCACCCCTAATAAAAATAATTAAAAATGTAAAAATCATAGTTATTTTTTGGTATATATATGTCTAGTACAGTTAAATCCTGCAGTATCTTTTTCTCTTTTCTTTTCTTTTTTCCTATTAATTCAATCAGACAAAATGAGAGAAAAGTTTAATATTTTATATATGTCATTCAATTACTTTTTGTGGTGGAGCAATCAAAATCTATTTTGAATGCAAACAGGGGTGAGGGATTGCGCAAAAGATTAAAAGGATGGTTTACTCCAAAATGTTACAAGTCAATGAGAGTTAAATACAATTTACCCCAAGTTATAACTCAAAATTTAAGGAAATTTAAGGCATATCATGAACAGTTCCAATTTCCTTATCTATTCATCACAAGCATTTTACAAAATAAATAAATAAATAAAATAATAAAATCATTTAAAATTGAATCACGCATTGTGCATAGTTGGTGTGAGTTGACTCAGTTTAACTATAATTTTTATTTAAGATTACGTGGACAGAAATCAACACCTTCCTCTACTATCTTGAAATGGGGTAACGCAACTTGGTACAAACAGTCCGTTGTAACGTGCTTGCCAAACGAACACTCATCCCAATGCTAGGGTTAAATATAAAATGGAAAAATTATTAAAAAAAATACCCTTGTAGAATTCGTATCATGCATATAACACTCATATGCTACATTTTGTGTGTTTAAGCCCCTAACGTATTTTAAAATGTTACAAAAAAGGACCTACCGTTAGCTGCTATTAAAAAAGAATTGTTAGTCAATCATATGCTACATTTTGTGTGTTTAAGCCCCTAACGTATTTTAAAATGTTACAAAAAAGGACCTACCGTTAGCTGCTATTAAAAAAGAATTGTTAGTCAATCATGAGCATAACTACCCAATCGTTTACAACGAACTCCTTTTCTCACCATCCAATGGAGTGTTAGACTCAACTTTAACAAGCAAGAAAGAGCATTCTTTAAAATATTTGGCCTTAAACAACTATAAAGCCAAACCTCTAGCTCGTATGAACTTGAAAATATCAAACATGTTTGGCCAGAAGAGTGTCATTATATGCTTCAAGAAGGGGGAACCCGCGACCCCTGTCGTTTACTTTAACACATGGAATCCCAGATCACATATGGATTTGCAAGATATAACAAGTTGTATTAAATCATGAAGAAAAGGTGATGCATGTGCTAGGATTAATTTTTTTTATTTTTTTTATTTTTTTTTATTTTTTTATTTTTAAGGTAAGAAATATTAAAAGTTAGATTAATAAATACAGAGAGTCGAAAAAGACTGACACTCCAAATTTCACGGAAGGGACTAATTCACTGAGCTATCGAGACATCTGTTAATTTTTTGAATTTTCAAAGCCTTATTTGGTGATATATTAATTAGTGATTACACAATACAAGTAATACAACCCCCACATTTACCACTTGGCATAGCTTTATCACCGTCTTTCACTTGGGAGATACCAACGACAAGAACTGAATCCTGAATTCACATACAGTTTGGCTAGTACCTTTGTTTCGTGTTTTTTTTGCTTTTGTTAGTGTACTGTAACGAAATAAAAGTACGAAGTATGTTTCGTAATTTTTGTTGTGCTTTTGAATAATACCGAAATGCTTCCAAAATTAAGGCCAAAATTGGAAGTATCAAAATAATGTTTTTGTTTGTTTCCGCATTGTTCAAAAAAATAAAAATTCTTTCTAAAATAACATTTTTAACTAATCATTCAAATTTTCAAACTTGCAACACTTTTTACAAAATATACTTTCATGTTTTTACTTCTAAAAATCTTGTAACAAATTTACGTTACCAAAAAGGCTTCTAAATAGTGTTGAACACACTCTAAAAGTTCAAACGTTGCTTCTACTTCAGGTCGAAGCAAAAGTACAAAGCAACTTTGGTTGCCAAACTGGCCCTAAGTGAAACAATTCTCCTAAATGGATGTCACTTTCACATTCTGCGCAAGAATTAACGCTCTGGTAAGAAATCCTCCCACAATTGGTGAGTTCAATTTTGTTAATTTTTTAATTTCATTTGCGAATTATTAAATTCATAATAATTTCATTCATTGAACTATAAAAAATTACATGTTATACATTTATTATTGGTCAAGTGCAGAAAACGCACCTAATGTATATTTTGCGTAGTACTTTCACCTCCTACTTGAAAACGTGTGCTAAAACACTCTTTTTTTCGTCAAAATTGTGCGAAAACACCCCTTAATAAGAAATCTAACATAAAGTGTTGTTATAATACTCGTTTTGACCTTTTACTCTTTTAAAAATGCCCAAGGGGGTGTGTATGTTAATAATTGCATAGTATAAGGGTGTTATGTGCACATTAATTATATTTAACTCACTTTTAAGAATTTTCTCTCACATTTTCGGGAAAAAAAATTCTTTATACATATTTTTGCTAACATCATTATCTCTCTTAAAAAAAAAAAAAATTGTTGTCACAATTGTTAAATCCCAATTAAATTTTAGGGTAAAGTATAGTCACATGCCCTGAGGTTTGACAAAAGGACACTCAGAGAAATTTTCCTATTTTTTTGGACAAAGACACCCCCTAAAGGTTCAAAAATAGACAAAGACACCCCTTTACATGAGAAATTGACCAAATTACCCTTTAACCGTTTAGGAGACTTTTTTAACTTTACAATTTAATAAATTAGACCAATCTACCCTCATGAACAATTTATACATAAAAAAAAAAAAAAAACTTTATATTGTTCACTTTTTTTTTTTTTTTTTTTTTTTGTTATTTATTTTATAAATGTCTCAACTTCTTAAAAATGTAGACGTCTAAAATAATTTTTTGATCCAATACATATATTTTAAATAAATTATATTTTGTTATTACTTCTTTTCTTTTTCTTTTTCTTTTTTATTTTTAAATTAAGATGCTTAATTCTTTCATCTAAAAAAAGTAAACCTATCTCTTTTCCTTAAAAATAAAAAATATGGTAACAGTATAACTTTATACATCTTAAATTATATATCAAATATTATGCATTTCTGAACATAAAAGGGAGAAAAAATAATAATAAAATAAAGGGAAAAAAATAATAATAATAAAATAAAGGGGGGGGGGGGGAAAAACAAAGGCATGCATAAAGTTATACTGGTACCATATTTTTTTATTTTAAAGGAAAATAGATTGGTTTAATTTTTTTAGATGAAAGAATTAAGCTTCTTAATTTAAAAATAAAAAAGAAAAAGAAAAGAAGTAATAACAAAATATAATTTATTTGAAATATATGTATTGAATAAAAAAATCATTTTATACGTCTATATTTTTAATAAGTTGAGACATTTATAAAGTAAAAAAAAAAAAGTTTTTTTTTTTTTTTTTTTTTACTTTTTTTATGCATAAATTATTCATGAGGGTAGATTGGTCCAATTTATTAAATTGTAAAGTTAAAAAAGTCTCCTAAATGGTCAAAGAGTAATTTGGTCAATATTTCATGTAAAAGGGATGTCTTAATCCATTTTTGAACCTTCAGAAGGTGTCTTTATCCAAAAAATAAGTAAGTTTCCTCTGAGTATCCTTTTACCAAACCTCAAGGGTGTGACTGTACTTTACCCTAAATTTTAATATAATTATTAGTTTTCATTAAATATATAATTAAAAAATTAAATTTAAGATACTTATTTATTATATATAAACAATATACATTTATTTTTTAAAACTTTAGAATTTGAAATAAATTTTCACAAATATATATATATATATATATATATATACACACACACACATATAATATATTCTTTACATAGCAACAAATGGGTATTGATCAATCTTTATTGGAAAATAAATAAATAAATGGGTGTTCAATCACCTATCGTCATCATACTATTTAAATTGCGATAAATCTATGTTCTCAATTAAATCTACCCGTTAAGATCAAAACATTTAAAATAACAATAGTTTATAAAGTGCAAAAAACACCCCTATAATATACTTACAATGCGTATCACACCCCTCATGTACTAAATACCCCCGCTATATACAAAAGGTGTAAAAAACTCCCTACAAGAAAAAATGTATGTATAACAACCTGTATTATACCTCTTATGAGCAAATTGCCCCCTAATCACCAATTTTGACCAAAGATTTTTATAAAAAACCCAAAATGCCTTCCTCTCTCCCGTGGTAGCACTGTCCCTCCCAAAGAATTTGTCAAATGATGTTAGAGCATCCACAATGGAGTCTCTTAAATTAGGCTCTCCGAATTTGCCGCATCAACATTTTTTAATAGTCACGCCAACGTTTTTAATAGCCACGTCAGCATTTTAGAGTCTCCAAATTTTAGTTATCACATATACTCCAATGGTGCGTTTTTGCTCTCAAAAAATATTAATATTTTAATATTTTAATATTTTTAAAATTCTTAATAAATTATTTTTTTCTTAACTTTTCCCTAATGGCTATATTTTCATCTTATATAAACAATCATTTGTTCATTTCATCATCATTATATTTATCTTTATCATTTTAGCAAAATATCAATTCACATCTCCTTCAATTTCGAAATTCCAATGGCTTCCTTATCACACTTTTTCCCTTTTGTTAGGCTCTAATTTATCATCTTCTTCATCATCCTCTTCATCACATAACCTTATTGATGAGTTAATTCATCATAATCAAGATGCCTTTAGTTCGATTTTGAATTCAGTGAACCTAGAGATAGTAGAGCAAGTCTTTAAACTGGGTAAGATCGAGGTAGTACATTCATCATGATCGAAAGGGAAGCCACTGTCAACTAATGAAAGACTACTTTAGCGAGAATTGCAAATATCCACCGGAGTACTTTCACAGACAATTCAGGATGCGACGAGAACTATTTCTTCGTATCCTGAATGATGTTAAAGCTTATGACGACTACTTCATCCAAAAAAGGGATGCAATAGATCGTTTGGGGTTGTCTTTTATACAAAATATGACAACTGCAATATGTATACTCGTATATGGTTGTGCAACCGATCATTGTGACGAGTATATTAAAATCGGTAAGAGCATTACCATTGAAACCCTGATGACATTTTGTAAGGTTGTTGTTGGTGTGTATGGGGAAGAGTACATGTGCCCACCCAACAAAGCCAACATAGCACGACTACTTCGAGAATTGGAGGAGAAAGGATTCTTATGTATGGTTGGTTCTATTGACTGTATGCACTGAGAGTGGAAGAATTATCCGGTGTCGTGGCATGGAATGTACAGAGGACGCATTTATACGCATATGCTCATATTGGAGGCGTTTGCCTCAAAAGATTTGTGGATCAGCTAGCATGCATTCTTTGGAATGCCAGGTTCACACAATGATATTAATGTGCTGGATCATTCTTCGGTATTCAACAGTATCGTCACTGGCTAAATTCCACCAATTAATTTCATTATGAATGGCCATTACCATAGAATGGGGTATACCCTAAGTAGGTAACTTTGATGCGGACCATCCCGCACCCAACTACAACAAAAGAAAAACTTTTTGCTTAAAGACAAGAGGCATGTAGGAAAGATATGGAATAAGCTTTTGGGGTCTTGCAGATTAAGTGGGTAATACGCTAAGACCATTTCATTTTTGGGATAAAGGGGAATTGTGTCTTATAATGAAAACGTGCATCATCCTTCACAACATGATCATTGAAGATGAGCGCCATGCCAATGTTGAAAGATGGACTCCGCCGCCGAAGGAGACAATCTCGATTCCCACTTAAATTCAAAATCTATCGATCTTAACGGCATACATCTATTATCACCAAGTCTAAAGTCGCAACAAAAAGACAAATACACGGTTGATGAAAGATTTAATTGAAAATTTATGGAACCATTTTGGGCAGTGCTTGAAGCTCAACAATGATTAAGTGCCTAAAGCTTCCATCATTTTCGGCGAGCTCAAAGGAGCAAAATCCAGTTCACACCATCAAGTGCCCAGGCAACGACGAAGACACACTCGAGTGTCGGCGAAGTTCAAGATCAGACCGAAGAAGCTCACAGCAATGTTAACCGAGCTTTATACTGTGAAACAGTGGGGGTGGTGACGAAGGTGATGGCTATTGCAGTGAGAGAGAGAATCTGAGGAGCGAGGAGAAAAAATTATGGGAGTATTTCGAACATTTCAACTAAATGTCCTTCTTTACACAAATTAAACAGTAGGGTGTTTTTCGTACCTTTTGTATATAGGAAGGGTGTTTATTGCACTTAGCCCTTTTAAGTAATATTTAAAATGTCTATATAAGGACAATTCAGTCAAACTATAACTTAAATGTGTCATGAGGGACCTATTTGTACCAAATTAAAACTTTAGGGGTGTTATATGTACATGAGGGGTGTGATTCGCACTATAAGCAGACTATAGGGATATTTTCTACACTTGACCCCATTTATTATAGACCGTAATAAACCAAAGAGTTACCTAATACCCATTAAAAACTATTTAAAAGGTGTAGAACTAATATTGAGAAACAATATTAAAAAATGTACGTGTGAATGGATTCTTTCTCTTTATTTCCATTTATCTCTGACTTAATTTACTTTGGATGGATTCTATATATATATATATATATATTTATAATAAAGTAAAATTATAAAATTGAGTTTTAGTTGAAGTAAATAGTTAAAATGAGTTTTAGTTATTTTGTGTGAGAGATACATGAACCAGTTTTGGACCAGATTTTTGGAGCCTCCAATTCCGTTACACCTCAGTATACTGGTTAGGTTTTGGTTTATTTGTGCGTTGGGCTGATTTACATCTTCTTAAATTCAAAAACCTAATTCAATTTTAATATCTGTATGTAGTTAACCAAAATTAAATCGGTAAAGGTGTGATCCATTCATTATGGGTTGTGCCTGGTGTTGTCGTCGCACCAAAGTCTAAAAGTGTGCAAAGAGATGAACTAAGAGTGTGAGTGTGCAATGTGGCCAAGTCTTAATTTATAAAAGTCACTACTACCTCTAACTAAAAATATAGCTAGGGTGAGTAGGGATCGTCCCAAAGGATTGTGGGTGCCTTTGCCATGGAAATAATGTATAAGGCTAGTAGGTCGAGTGATCAAAGATTGGTTGGATTGATTGATTAAGCTATTATGCAAATGAAATTAAAGTAAACAAAATTCAATGATTAATAAAGTAAAGAAAGATATAGAGGGAAGAACTTCGGGTACTAGAGCTCACCACTAAGCTTGACTTCACTAGACACTAGCAATTGTATATTAATGGGGAAATTGACTTATAATTTGTGTGTATGTGTGACATTAATTGAAACTAGGCATAAATGGAAAATAAGCATAGATTGTCAAGCCAAATCAAATGGAAAACACAACCTATCAATTGAGAACAAAATCCATTCAATGAAACTACAATTGATGCACACACAACTATCTAGAAACACGCACCTAATGCATTCATAAGTATAGAACACCAAGGAACAAGAGTAAATTGTCCACCTATCTATGAATTTAAAGTAACTACACTACATCTACACTAAAGACATGAATTTAAACTAAGTAAGCTAAAGGTGTGGTACAATCCATCAAGAAACAAGTGTGAACCATCAAATAAATTGCAAGAGTGTTCAATTAAGCTCTATGTTTTGACCATCTCTAGATTAACTTCATCCATACACATAGACATGCATAAACTCCATTAAATCTAGAGAAAAGCACATGAATCATCCATTCTAGCATACATAGACATATGGTTAGAAGTAGATAATCAATTGAAAGCATTAATCCATACACATCAAGTAGAAACCACAAGATATATATATAAATCCAACATCAAAATATTGTTACAAATAAATTCCAAAAAATATACAAAGAACTAAGTCTAGGAAGCAAACTTAAGGGCTACTCTAGCCCCAAGTAGATGTCTAGCCACCATTGAAGTAGTTACCTAACCCTCAAGGGCTATCTCCATGGTAAGAATGACCTCCTTTTTGATGGAAACTCTAGAAGAATGAAAGAATTCCCAAAAATGTGTAAAGCTCTCTAATCTCTAGCCTCCTCTCCAAGATAAGAAAAATACAAGTTATGTTAAATGTTACAAGTTATGAATAACAACTATACTCTAAAAGTGGTTCTCAATCCTTATATAGGTAAGTCAAATGTCACACCAATGGTCTGGGCTCGTACACCAAGGTCCCTCCAATGATTGTACCGTGGGCCAACTTTTAATGAGCTGGAATCTATTTTTTTTTCGGACTTGAGGAGGTTCGATCGATCAAACTGTGGTGAGATCGATTGAACTTGGCTGAGATCCATCGAATGCTGCAGAGATCGATCATCCTTAGTGGCGCCTTTTTGAATAAAGACAAATCTTTGAGATATTTTTGGATATTTTTGGGAAGAAGACAAAAGTGGTATGTGGGTGGTAGGTGTGGATACGATCAAATCGTTTCATTTGATCTGGGAAATGTTGGATCGATCGAACTTGTTGGATTCTTTTAGATAAGGACAAGGGCTTGGATCCATCTTGAAATGTCTAGATCGATGAACTTTCAATCGATCGAAGAAATTCCGAGATCGATCGAACATGCAGAATTTCCACACTTTGCTTCAATCTGCTTCCACTTTGCTCATTTCTTCTATTCAGCTTGAGTTAACTTCTTTAATGCTCTTTTTTGGTTGAATTGACTTATTTTTGTAATAAGCAACTGAAAAGGGCAATAACACGAAAGTAGTCTAAAACGGAAAAGTAAGATAGATAAAGGTCCTAGAATACTGAAGCTTGTTTAAATTCGCACTTTTCAGCGCTTATCACACCCCCAAACTTAAATATTGCTAGTCCCTAGCAATGAACTACAAAGTAAAGGAATGAAATGAACAATTATACAACTATGAACTAGAAAGCAATAAGTGGATAATGCCACTTTCGTAGGGAATAGGATTGCATTTAGCATATGTAACAAGCCTTGTAAACCCCTAGGTTACCCCTAGTGGATAAGTGAAGTCTCGTGAGGGTTTCAAGAAATGATACCCACAAACATTAAGTTCATTCTTTCAAAAGAGGCACCAATGTTGCAAACAAGCATTGGGAGAAAACTAACTTAAGTATGCAATTTTTCAACCCTTTCCAAACAATCTCCCAAAATTTCAACATCAAGCAAACAAGTATGGTCCTTCACATATCAAGAAAATGATTATGCAAATCAAAACAACTCTAGAATCTTTTTTGAGTGGACCGGCATCAAATATGTTGTTATCTAAGCCAACTAAAGAAATGATCACATCCTTACCCTTAAACTAGCACACAAATCTAATACCGATCATCAAGACAAAGAGTGGACCTTTTGATCGGTTGGTCAATTAACATCAACCTTCGCAATAGCACGAATCATTGTAAAATAGGGCTATTGGTCGGGTAAGTCGAACCACTGGGACTGCGCTAGTCTAAGGCAACCTAAGTGTTTAGAGTCATTCTTAGGATGATGAAGGGGTGTTCATAGAGGTTTTGTTTGTTGTCACTTAAATTAGGAATTCAAAATGCATAAAACACTAATTTGCAAGGAATTTAGGATGAAAAGATTAAGAAGAGGAGACTAGGGAAGTGAATCCGCCTCCATCCCTATACATATGCTAGATTAGACCTAAATTGGGGGAAAAACAACATATGATGGTCAAGACTTACATAGCAACACATGGTTGCCATATAAGTAATCAAGAGGTACATTAGGTCTCAAACAAGTATAATCCATCAAAAGATAAACATGCTTAGACTACCTAACTAAGGTGTAGCTTATACACATTTACTTAAATGAGAGACTATCAAGTTCTTGACAAAATGATAAAGCACATGGAGTTAGAGATTAAGCATACACCATCAAAGGATTTCCTAAGCAATGGTCTATCAAAGTCACCTATCAACATGCCATGAAACCATTTCATAACCTTGCTTCCACTCTCACCATGAAAAACTCAAGCAATATGATTACTCTAAGACATCATCTAAGACAAGATAATCAACTTAAAGAAATCATCCATACATGTATCAACATTCATTACAACAAATGAGGTGCTCTTGGTTATGAAAAGACCATAAAATATACATGGCAAATCCCCAAAATAGACTATCCTAGGACATGCTTACAAGGGAGGGACTTCATCACCTCCCTAGAGAAAGAGTTAGTTACCCATTGCTAAGCTAGAAGAAGGAAGAAGCTCCATCCAAGACTCCATTTTCGTGCTCCTACTGTAGCACTCAAGAACACCCTCCTCCTTGCTCTCTTCTCTCTCCTCTATCTTGCTAGAATATAGGATAATGATATGTGTGGCCTTCCTTGCCTTATCTCCTTCAACAAAGCTCTCTCTCTCCTCCAAAAAAACATCCCCAACCACCTCATAAAGAAGTAAGTAGAAAATGAGGAAACCAATGCAC